GTTCAAAACATGTCAAGTTGCCCGTTGCTGGTCTTTTTTCACAGAGCAAAGACAGCAAGCGGAAAGACTGAGACCGATGGGTGAGACAAGCATTTTCTGAAAGAAAAAGAAATGGAAAAAAAAACTACTCAGTTTCGGTAATTTATTAAAATGTTTTTATTTTACTTGTATTTCAATGTACAGCATACTCACGAGTTCGATCAAATTTCTTCTCTGCACCAGTGCATTATGCATCTCCTCCAGTGTTTTTAGGTAAGTACATTTCATCATTTCCATGACACTTTCATTTTTAATATATTTTTCTGGAAGTATTTAATCTGTACAGTCGTTGCGGAGCAAACAGAATAAAGCTAATGGTCTGTTGTTGCCATACGATAATTGTCTCTGTGCGTTTTCTCCAGAGTTACAAAATGTCATTTTAGTTCTTAAGCAACGCGTTTAAAGTTTCAACCACAAAGGCAGAACTTAACAATTTAAAATTTGCTTGAAAAGCAAGAAAAGACAAAAAAAAAAAAAGACAGACAAACAGACAAAATAAAGAAACACAGCTTTAAGCTTTTTCACAATGAAACGTTTCAGTTCGGATTGGTGGACATAAAAGAGTGACGGTGGTAATCGGAGCAGCTGAAATACTCTGGAGAGAGTGTCAGAGTGACAGAAATAGTCCTAGTTTGCAAAATTTCTTCAGATGTGATGGTTGGGAGTGACTAACGGAAGAACCAAAAGACTCTCCAGCTAAAAGAGGCAGATAAACCACAGAATAACTCCTGCCTTGCCCGACGCTGATTGACAGTAGCAACTGCATGAAAGTATTTGAATAATTGTTCAGAGCAGAAAATGACAGACTAAATAAGCTGTGAATACATGTGGGAAATGATGCGCCCCCAAGGATCGTCACGAATGAAACTCGTATTAGGACCGGTACGAGTAAACTGTTTCCATCCAGAGCAACTATTATGAAATGAAATGGTGTCACAAACCAGAATGCCCCAGTCGTTTATACATTTCATTTTCACATCAGCGTCAGAGGACGTAGCAAACTAATGGAAATGTTTAAAAGCAGCTGAAGTTGGTTTTGATCTTTAGCTTCTAGGATGAGCGAATCCGCATTTGTAGCAAGTGGAGGTATTAAGGACAGAGCCAAGCTTCAAAAAATACAGAGCTCTCACTCCAAGCGCCACCTTTTTTAATTGTTTCTGCTACTGTTTGTGCTGCAGTGGATGGAGATCCCCACTTCATTATTGAGCTTCCTGGGAGGAACGACTCTCTGTGCTTCAACATCAACAACGCGCCGGGAACCATCTTCAATCTGGTCCGTGACCCAGAAGCAGGTCGGCAAACCAGTTTCAAACAGTTCGCCCTCTGACGTTCGACCTGTCCGTCCTTTCTGCACTGATCCCCGTCGTCTCTCCTCAGGTGTTTTTGTCAACGGTCAGATCATCGGAGACAAGATGATTCCTCCTGATGGGAAAATTAACACTTATTTTTGGCGTTTCTTCATCGTCCACCGGACTTTGGGCGTCAGCCTGCAGGTGACCACTCAGTACATCTCCGTTTCGCAGGACGGTAAAGACGCCAAGCTGCTGTGGACAGATACAGCCTCTCTGAAAGGACCCAAGTGAGTTGGAGCTGTTTGCTTTTCGTACCAGGAACTCAGAGTACGCTGAGGTCCTGGAACTGCTGCCTTTACAAGGTTTAGTTCCATGTTTTAAGCAAAAACTATAGTTTGACTTTAGTTTGATCAGCTCCACCAAATCCTGATTGTCGTCACCCATGTCTACTTAATAGTTTGCTTGTTTCCTCCCGTGAGACCAGCGTTGGAGGAGGCCCAGTTGGGTTAAACCAGGCAAAAATGGGGGACGTCTTTCAGCAACCTCCAGTTTCTGCTGCAAAAAAACCAACATTTTATTATGTTTTTTTTTTGTTTCCCATCAAAATGAAAACGGTTCTGCTAAAGGAAAACTTTAAAAGTGTTCTTCAGATTAGCTCGATTGTGACAGTCTTCGTCATGTTGTGTTTCAGCGTGGATGTTGTGGTTACTAAAGATGGCAGCCTGACCGTGACGCTACGGCGCTCCGTTAAGTTTGTGATCCTGCTCCACAAAGTGTGGAAGAAGCACCCTTACCACCGAGACTACCTCGGCTTCTACACCCTGGACACCCACCTTCTGTCCCCTTCAGTTCATGGCTTGCTAGGTGCAACATGATGGATTTTTTTCTGTGTGTGTGTGTGGTGGGTGTGTGTGTGTGTGTGTGCGTTTTTACCCTTCCTGAATAGCACTACAATTTAAATTCAGTGTTTTTCATAGTGACCTGGTTTAGTAAAACATTTAAAGACAAGAATGCACAATGCAGCAAGACGTATTTGGATGGATCTGGCACAGATATAAATGCAGCAAATCATAAATCACTTCCTGCATGCGCACAAGTACATTACCAGAAATTAAAAAGCTGAAGTATTTCAGTCATTCAACTGAAAAAGTGAAACTTCAATATTCTCACACAGTTCTCATGTTAATTTGTTAAATTTGATTATTGCATATGTATACTGTAAACCCGAAATTCAGTTTCTGACAAGATTAGAACCAGGAAGTATCAACCAGATTTAAATTTCCTGACCTGGTGTTGTTTGAAAAATAAATGTGCCTGCTTTGACCTGTCCTTCAGGCCAGTTTTACCACGGGGTTGAGTACGAGGTGACAGACTTACGTCCCGGGGAATCTCCAGAGAAACCAGACGCCACCATGTTTGCAAAAGGACACCAGCTCAATGTGACCAGGTAAGTCGAGAGGGTGGGGCTGGTTGTCGTAAACGTCTGAACGCGATCCCGACCTGTTCTCCTGGATCCGCAGAGGCTGGCAGAGGGACTTCAGAAGAGACCTGAAGAACGGAGAAAACGTTCCCTGCTGGTTCGTCCACAACAACGGATCGGGCCTCATCGACGGCGCAGCGGCAGACTACGTCGTGTCGAGCCTTTTCACTACGGTCTGAAAGCAAGCGGCGCATTCTTCTGCACTGCTCAATAAGATCCAAATCAAGTTTGTTGAAACAATGAGGAAATTCGGCTTGACACTCTTGCAGAAAACAGAACTGTCTTATTTTTTTTCCAATATTGTGGCAAATTTCTAGGATTAGAAGAAGCTTTTTAAAAACACTGGCAGGTGAAAAATGAACCCAGTTTGGGTTATTTCCCCTGTTGTGGACAATTTCAGTACTTTAAACTGAATGAATTTCAGACTTTGTCTTTTGTTCTGCTGTTCAAATAATCAGACTAGCAAACCAGACAACAACAAAAAACGTTAATATAATGTGCATCATGGGCCAGTTTGCCCCCTTGCCAATTTGTTAACCTCATTTTACGTCGACACGTTGCCATGTCATCATCGCCTACGAAGTCCATTTCATCAGCAGAAACAAAGCAGGTCACATCCGTGTCTTCAATCGTGGCGCGTCGGTTCATTTCTGACACTTCTGATGACTTCCAGAGATAAATAATCACACAGATTCTCATATCTCACATATAATTTTGTCGTGTTGTTTTACATGTACTAGAGAATTTATACATCTCCACCACATTTCCATTTTCTGCGGTTCAATCCTCACATCTGGTGTCTACTGAAATGTTCTGACCCTGGATTAAACCAACTTAACTCTGATCGCATTGTGGCGAGGATGACCTGTTCTTTGTTAAAAAAATAAATCAACTGCACTACAATAAACATATTCTAATTGTTTTGTTGTTATTTGGTTCATTTAGACAAATAATGCGGATTTTGTGTTCCACAAAAAAATAAATAAATAAAAACATGACGAGAAAGATTTGCTTTTTGGAGTTAACAGATGAACTGTTGAATTTAATAAACAAACTTCACACTCTATCACAGACTGTGGAATGCGTTTCTTGTCTATATGGACTTTATGATCAATTCTTATTAGTATTTGTCAATGCGTGATTCCTGAACGTAGCTAGCGCTGGCGCTACGTGTGCAACAAAGCGCTATCTCAGGAGTTAGAAACTTTCTCTCCAGAGTGAACGAAAGTCATGAACATCATTTTGTTGCGTCACTTTACCGTTCCTATTCCATCCTGAAGAAGCGGTTTAATAAAGTGGGATCAGTCGCTGACTACAAAATGGCGACCTGTGAAGTATGAGGAGTGTTCTTGTTTCTTGGCTAATTTAACAAAATGAGTCATAATTTTTGATTTTCAACTCCTGCTCCAAAAGCACAAAACTTCTTGTTGCTTTTTGTTTTTAGTGTGTGTGTGTGTGTGTGTGTGTGTGTGTGTGTGTGTGTGTGTGTGTGTGTGTGTGTGTGTGTGAAGTGATTATCGACGTTGGGGAAAATTCTGTTTATTTCATTGTAGGGGTCAAAGTTCTTACAAATGCTCTCAAGCTATATTTTGTCTTTATTTATTCATTTAGGAGGAGAAAATCTTGTTTCAGTAAATTCTCTTGTGTTTGTTTCAGCTTTTATAAACAGGTCAAAACCTACCCGAGGTCCAATATGCTCATTATGCGACATAATGCAACACCAGCTCATATTTAGTTGTATTACAAGTCTCAGATCTTGTAATACAAGACGGTTATTAAAAGTGCCAAAAGGGCCATTGTCATGAAAATGTTTGCAACCCTCTGCTGCAGGACGAAGTGCAACCACAACACCAAATAAAAGCGACATTAACAAACTGCTGTCTTTATTCCGACTGCGACATGAATAGTCTTTATTCATGAACATGAACCTTCTTGTTTGGACAGGATGAGCATCCCCACTATTCATCCCTAATCCCTGAAGACATACCATGTACATGAAACCACATGCACACACATATACACAATCTTTGTTCAATAGGTGGAGGCTCCCTCTTTTTTTTTTTTTTAATGCTCAGTGTGGGCGGAGTGACTTTTACAGGAAGATTTGATCCCACATGCTTCGAATTCCCTGCACGCAGTTTCCAGCTGTTCTGGCGCTGAGGCCCTCTTGCCTCTAACTTCTTCCCAGGATGCTGCTGCTGCTGTGGGTTTGCATCTGCATCAGTCCTCCGGTTCAGGTCCAGGGAGCTCTGGTTCTTTCCCGAAGAGACGGCCTGAGACAGGTATTTACTCTGAACAACATATGAAGCAATTTGTATTTGTTTTATTCGCTTTTCTGCAAAGGAGCTTTACTGTATATCAGAGAAAAAGAAGATCTTTCTCTCTCTCGCTCTCTCTCATTTATGGGCATGCAGGCACTGATATGAACTGAACCGTGGCTGCTTATAGACAGTTTACATAACCTCCTTCCATTCAGGCGTTAATCGCGTTGGTACTGCTTATTTTGCACCCCTGCAGATTCACATCATTTTTTGAACGTAAGGAATCCTCCCTTTCAAACCAATCCAAGCAATTTAACTTAATTTTTGACTTGCAGTTGCTTTCTTTTCTTGACAGAGCTGTAAAGTTTTGATCACGAAGTATAGCAAAATGCATGAAATTCCTTTTGGAGATTATGTTTGAAACCTTATACTTCCCCATACCCCAGTCTGATCTTATTAACTTTGATTACTATGTGATGCTATGTGTTTAAACAGGCCTTTTCCCATCTGAGCCCCCTGTTCTCGCCTCAAGTGCCTCTTCTAAAATCCCTCTCTCTCTTCTAATTTCCTCAGTGCCCAGAATCAGAATCTCAGATTGGGAAGGAAATAAACACGTCTATGATCATAGCCAGTATATAACATGGACTGTCCTTTCGTGCCAGTTTGACTTTTGCAAACAGCATTCTTGTGAGTCTTCCACAATAAGCTCTTTGTCTGATCCTGGGAGCAAACATAGACATAGACATGCACATGTGCTGTATCCTCTGTACGCTGGAATCACTCGCTGTACAAAAAAACATAAAAACAGGAAACGCGTTAATGTGTGTCAGCAGGTGCCGACTGCTCGTCGACAAAACAACAGAAAACTTGTTAAAAGCTTAACAAATGAGGTTCAAGTCCACTTCTCACAGTCTGCTCCTTTCTCTCTGCTACAGCTGGTTCGGCACAAGGAAGCTTGATATGAATGCTCAGGCAAGTTAGTACTGCCATCCACTAAGTTGTTTCTCTGCCGTTATCAACGTTTAGCTGCGCATACGTAAGCTTGATTGAGAGCACTAAGTCCTTCTTTATGCCTCTGATTAGTTGTCGGAATAATATCCCGTTCCAACGATTCGATTTCCGGACAGCAGAGAAGACGTTCCACTGCAACATGTCCATTGTGTATGAAACCGCCTGCTGTTGGAAAGCGCTGCTAATCCACTTTATTTGCTTTTGCAGATGCTCTTTAAATCTCTCCTTGGATGGTTACAAAACCGGGCAGAGAGATGTTAAAGTAGGGGATAATTTGACTCCTCACCAAAAAGAATTTGCCCAATTGTTTAGATCTGGATATCCCAAGCACTTTCAGCTACCGATTCCTTTGTAAAGAGTCTGAAAAGTTGCTGCACCTCCTGGAGGCCAGACATGTCTGGAACATGTCTGTTTGGCACATGTTTATTGCCAAACGGTGAGAAATTTCTGGTTCACCATGTTTTTCACTGTTTTCAGGATGCCAGAGAAGTTACGGGACACAGTTCAATAAAGGTAATCATCTTACATGAGCTGTAATTAAATGCATTTATAAGCAACCGTAACATCTCTTTTCAACTTCTCTCCCACAGAAAAGAAGTACAAACTGGAAAAATGTAAGACACACAGATGATTATTTCTATTGACCTTTATGTTTGGATGAACTGTGACTGGACTATGATGACCAGCAGGTCTCACAGGAATGACGCTGTTTTCTAATTCTAAAGTCCAAAGCTGATCAGTGCCTCCAAATGCAAACCGCTGTGCTTGTTCTGTCTTTTCCCTCAAGAAGTTTCCTTCTTTTTCTGTTTTGACGACGTAAACAAGCAGAAAAACTGGAGATGTTTCCGCAGCGCTGTGTTTACACTGGTGACTTAGTTTTATTTACAGACAATTTATTTTCACATGATTTCGGTCGAGAGCCCAGAGCGCCACAGGTCGACCCTCATCTTGGCCACCAGCCTCTGCTGCTCCTCTGTTCCACCACATCTGTTTATAGAGTCTCACAACATTTAAAGCGTTCAAAGAGCAGCCAGGGGAAAAAGAAAACAATTCACATGCCCCGTAAAGTCACAGGAGCAGAGCAACAACAAAGAAGAAAGTTTTTGGTGACGTCTTAACATGAAAAACAACCACAGAACAACAGCATGGCAAATTAAATTAAATCGTCTTCACCAGATATCAAGATGATTGAGAGTCCATCTTTCTTTATAGGGTGCTTTTTTTTGTAAGAGGAAAGCAACAAGAATTACAAAAAAATCAAACAAGATTGAAATCTCAGTTGGGTTCAGACAGAATCGTTGACAAATAATTTCGCAACTCCATTAACATCGTTCAAGCTTGACAATGCGAGCCGACACTTTCAACAAGACAAAGGAAGAGCTTCATTTCAAAACATTTTTCTTGTTTCCTGACCACGTTACCTTTCCTGTTCTGGAAAAGGTGGAAGTGCACAGTGTCAGAGTCGCCTGCACGGTGACGTCCCGCTTCGCCCGCACCATCGTGACGTCCAAGGCTCTGAACGCGGCAAACAAGTCGGCTTTGAAATGGATCTGCCGAAGACCGCCTTCATCACCAGCTTTAGCATGTCAGTCAACGCTTCGGCTCCGTTGAAAAGGTCCCAGCTGGAACTTTTGACAAATCTCATCGTGTCTCTCACAGGGAGATTGACGGTCACATCTACGCTGGAGAGGTGAAGGAGAAGGAGAAAGCCAAAAAACAATATGAAAAGGCTGTCTCCAAAGGGCAATCTGCTGAACCTGTCAAGTACGTGGCACTGGGGGAAATAAAAAGAAGGCCAGAATGTAAATGTTTGAACATTCATTCGTTAAAGTCGTCTCTTTCCGCTGCAACAGGGTCTCTGGGAGAAAGATGGAGCAGTTCTCCATGTCCGTCAACGTTGCTGCGGAGAGCAGCGTGACTTTTGTTCTGATCTATTTGCAGTACTCTAACAATATTTGTGCTGTTTCTGCAGTGGATGGAGATCCTCATTTCATAATTGAGCTGCCAGACAAAGAGGAGGCGCTGTGCTTCAACATAAGCGACAGACCGGGAACCATTTACAATCTAGTCAGAGACCAGAAATCAGGTCGGTATGGTGGCTTCTTTTAAACCGCATGTGTCTCTCCTTGAGACAATTGAAGGAACAAGAACTGAATCATGAGCATTGCTTTTCAGGTTTTGTAGTGAATGGCCAGATCATTGGCAAAAAGACATTCACCCCTCTAGCCAAGAACAACACATACTTTGGTCTTTTTGCTGTCACCCACAGAAAGCTGGGGCTGCAGCTGGACGTGAACACTGACCATATATCAGTTTTTCACAATGGCAAGCATGTTAGGTTGCAATGGTCTGATACGACCTCAGTGAAAGACGACAGGTGAGTAGCGTTGCTTTGCAATAGATTCCGTCACACTCTCTGGCATAATTAGTTTTTTTGTGTGTTTCACTGTCACTGTCTTGGTTTTAGCTTGGTGCCCCAATTTTTTTTCCCTTTCTCCTCTAGTTTGGACATTAGACTGATTAACAGCTGCAGTCTGACCGTATCGCTCCGGCACACAGTTAAATTTAGGATCATCAGACACACAAAGATTTGGAAGAAATACCACGACCAACAAAACTATCTGGGTTTCTACACCCTGGATAGTCACCACTTATCCTCCTCAGTTCATGGACTACTTGGTAAGTAACTACATTAAGACTTTATTATTGTGGTGCAGTGATACTGTACTTGTTGAATGTTTCAGTAAGCCTTTAATCACACTCCACAGGTCAGTTCTACCATGGAGTTGAGTTTGAGGTGACAGATTTGCATCTAGAAGTGGAGGGAAAGTCAAATGCGATTATGTACATAAAAGGCCAAGCCATCAATGTGACCAGGTAAATGTTTTTCTTTTGGAAAACGGGACTTTGAAAAAAAAAAAAAGGACTAATTCTTTTTTAATTATTATTTTCAATACTCTGAAGACGCTGGGAGAAAGATTTCAGCAGGGATGTGGAAACGGGAAAGAACGTCCCCTGCTGGTTCGTGAACGATGATGGACACGGCCTCATCGACGGATCAGCTTCAGTCTACACTGTGCCTCACCTTTTCACTTTTTAGATCTTAGAAACTCACCATATCCGCAACATGTAACATCATCGGTCTAAGGTGGTAAAATACAGTGGATTTTGAATTTTCAATTGTAAATCATCATGCAATTAGAACTCCTTTGTAAGCTGTGTTGAAGGAAGGTGCTACAGGTCGCTGCAACGCAAGTCGTGCGCTATTGTCTAATGCTAACGTTTACTGATTTGCTTAGAAGTGTTCGTGCCTTGTTTAAACTTTTTGCTCATGAGGCATTCAGTGGTAATCATCTTAAGAAAGAAACTAACTATTGGCCTTGAGCAGTGTTCATATTGTCACCATTCCCTTCCCACTAACAAATAAAAGTCTTCAAAGTGTGGAATTCATTTAGGTTCAATCCATTTTCCAATGATACTTCAAACATAAATTCTTTGTGTGCAACCGCTTTCAGAAATCAATCGTTAGCCAATAGAGTGAACTTGTGGGTAACATATACAGCCGTGAAGGCAAGGTGCTTTGCTTAAAACGGTGTCTGCCTTTTTCTAATTAAGTGAGTAATGGTTTATAAACCCATTTTTATAATCATGGGCATTATAAAAATGCACATGATTTCTGTTTCTAACTGAAATTAACAAATACTTCAGTCTTGTGTTTACACTACAATCATAGATTGATCAAATTTATAGTTTTCTTCTAAGTTTCTAAGTCCTAAAAGTTAGGCCAGTGCTGCTATTATTTCCTTTCTCAACTATTTGAAAATCAAAAGCAGAAAGTGAGTTGCGTATATATTCCACAAGGGGCAGCAGTGAGGCAAAACTAACGCGTGCCCACGTTTATTTAAGCGCAAAACGAAAAACGGCGGGTGTTGAGTGTTAGAGGTTTATAAGCTTGTTTTTGTTTTACAACAAGAAAAACCCGACGGAAACCGAGAGCGACATCTAAATATTTTGGCAAAGTCCTTAAGAGAAGGTTGAACTAAATGTTAAACTAGCTTGAAATGAGCTAGCTAGCTGTTTCCACGGAATAGCGTCGAAGAAATGAACCGTTTCTTAAAGACTCTTCTGCAGAAAAGTCAGTTAATTTGACCCGAAATATTCGCATTGTCTTATTATTGGGATATTTCTGATCGTAGCCTTTAATAATTAAATCGTAATGCGATGAAGGTGACTTGTTTAATCAACCCGAACAGGAAAAGCATTGAGGTATGTTATGTATTTTCTTGAGCCACATCAATTTGGTTCACATTTACTGAACTAATAAGGCGCCATTTTGTACCTGAATACATGGAGAATGTTTAGGTTAGGAACTAATTGCCCAATTCAACATTTTGTCACACAACCTTAAAAGGTGACAGGACCTCCCAGCTGCCATTAAATTCTGACTGGGAATATTAAGGATTTTTATTTGTCTCCAGTAGAAAAACAAGCAAAACGTTTTGTCAGTGTCTGCAATATTGCTCGCTCTGCACTTAACTGAAGAACTCACCAGAAACAACATGAGTCTGACTGTAGACGTCCCTCATACTGGAGAAAAATCATCAAACTCCAAATCCAGCAGTCATGTTGTAGCCTGCAACATGACTGGAAAGTAGGGATGCATGATATAGCGATATCTGCCATTATCAGTCATTCATATCTGTATCAGTCAGATAAGTAAGACTGATATTAACTACCGATATTTGTTTCAATCTCACCAAAACTCTGACGACACTTGAAGTACTTTGGCCCTTATGACAGCCGCAAACTGAAATTGATCAGCCAGTTATTAAAGTTGCTTCCTCAGTTGTTCATTTGTTTCTGGAGTCTTCACCTCAGCAGATATTTGTCCCTCTCGTAGTCATTGCTTCTTGAGCCAACACACAAACAGGTATTCAGAACTTGGACACGTTGCGTTCCTTGTGTTGAGTCACCCACAAACCAAAGATAAACTTCAGTACTGAACTGCTGCTTAATGCTTGAAATCTTAAGTTTCTTAGTCTCTTAGAGGAAAATAAAGTTAAGTTTGAAATCAACTACCCAGATTGGAGGAAAAAGAAAAGATGAAGAAACAAATCCATGTTGTTTGATGTCAAAGCCTCCACAGTCAGCGCCTTATACTTACCTCTGCTTTCAAACTTTATGGAGATGCTGATTGCGTTTTCCAGTGGGATTTGATCCCTTTTCATACAAAGAAATGTACCAATACCTGGTTTAAAGGCCATGGTAGAATTGTATTTGATTGGACAGCAGTCTGAAGCCATTAATTGATGTTTCTGTGTCTGTACGTTGAATTCTTGACATTTTACTGAATGCATGTTTACATGGCAGGTTGGGTCTGAGCAGGGTACCTAAAATCTATTATGTGTGTGATTGTATGAGGAAACTCCTTGTACTCCCTGCTCCTATTTCATAGCTATGTGTGAGCTCTAGCAGACACAGGGCAAGTGTGTTAACCTCAGTCATGTCGGAAGTTCAGGAGTTGAGAGGGATTTTGTGGTGGTGGTGAAGGGCGGGTGGCTCTGTGCAGAAGTGTTTGACTGTGTGCATCTGTCTCCTTGTATGCTGGTGTTTTTGCAAGCCTTGCTGATTAACAGCAGATGTGGAGAGGCTCTGGGTGTCGGGGGCCAACTTCAGAGGGCCCCCCACTGTAATAAGTTTGGGCTCTGTTGTAGAAAATGGCAGCCTCTTCACACATGAGTGATATTATTGTTTGCTGAACACACTCTTAACCCCAGCAATATTGGAAACCAGAAAGAAAAAAAAAAGTCAGTCTGAACTTAAAGGAGTAGTGGATGATTGTTTTATGGGGAGGACGTACATGTAAGTCTCCTGCTTGTCCAGCAGAGGGCATGAGAGAGCTGTTGATCCAATTTCTTCCAATGCCACTGGAATCGTGAAGGTCCTGCCGACTGGGTTGACTGCATTGGCTAGTTTTATTCAAATGAATAAAACGAGTTCATTATTAAACCATTTTTAGAAACTGGCTTGATTAAACATTTGATCAGCATCACATGTTGGCCATATTTAATATTTGTCAAGCTATTTTTTGGCTGTCTGCTCTTACCCTGACAACAACCTCATGAAGTCTGAAGGATGGCCTCAATTTGATATTGTCAATGTAACAACCAAGTACTAGTTCAAAGTTATGCAGTTACTGTCGCTGATATTTCTTTGTTGAATGTCCCTGTCTGGCTAATTACTGAAAATTGTTACCTTATTAACTGTAAAACAAATACATATTTGCACCTTCATATTTGCACTAATCCCCCAACCCCCAAACACACGCGTTTTTGTTTTGTTTTTTTAAGAACGAAACAAAAGCCATAAATAAGCCAGAATCGGCCCTCCTCCTGCAGGGAAGTTTTTCTTAAAACATTGTATTATTTCATGTCAGTTCTTCTTTTCTAAGTCACAGTCAGACAGTTTTAAAACTTTCTCCTCCAGCTTCCTGTCTGCGAGTTTTTGCCTCCCAACCCGCACATCTCTCTACCTTTTGTCCCCGTATGAATATTTCACATTGCTGCTGCCGCTGGTGCGTGATGCGGAGCACTGAGCGCTCATTGTGTGAACGCAGTGTGGGTGCTGCGGTATGCAGCCTCTTGCCGTGCAGTGTGTCGTGACAGGCGTGTGGCTGCTGACGCCAGCCGGCCGCCTGTCGGTCTGTCCGTCAGTTCAGTGACACCTGACCATTGATTACATTGTTGCACCCACACGCAGACATCGGAGACCAGGCTGCATGTTTTTCCTTCGTGGACAAAGTTCTCTGTTCGCATTTGTCATTCGAGGGTGACACAGATCTGTTATGTTGCCTTTACTACGTAGGTGCAATGCTACTAAAATATTTTTAAAATGGAATTTATATTTTTTTTGTAAAACAAAAAACAAAACAAAAAACTACAAACATGAAAATGACACAAATGGATAGCTAAAATGTGGCTGCACTTCTATTGTAAATTTACAATAGTAAATTTACTATTGTAATTTTTTTTCTGAATATGTTAAAGTTATAAGGACTTGGCAAAAACAATGACACACTTTGTAATTTTTCACACTTTGTTTATTTAAAAACACATTAAACCAAACTTTAATGTGTTTTCATTTGGATTTTGATTGGTAGAGCCACACAAAATAGCACATAAATGTGAAGTGGGAAGGAAAATTAAAAATAAAAAAACTAAAAAGTGTTGTGTGCAGCCTCCTTTAGTCAAAACAATAACAGCTGCGTCTCTTCTGGGGTATGTTTCTACCAGCTTTGCCCATTTTTGTGCACAATAGCTCAAGCTCAGTCATGTTAGGTGGAGAGCAACTCTGAGCAGCAGTTTTCAAGCCTTGCCAAAGATTTTGAATTGGATTTAGGTCTGGACGTTTATGTTATGTTTTTGTTAAACATGAACATGCTCTTCTATCACAGACTACATTGCAGCTCAGGCTGTATGATTTGCATTGTTGTCCTCCTGTGAGATTAACCTCCACACAAATCTCAAATCTTTTGCAGCCTCAAATAGATTTTCTTCTATGATTGCCCATTTTTAGCTCCCATCTAACTTCCTATCAATGCTGACCATCCTCTTTGTCCCCTCTGATCAAAAGCATTGCCCCAGCATGATGCTGCTACCACCATGTTTCTCTGTGGGCACAGTGCATTTGTTAGTTATGAGTCACACAGTGCTTTGCATTTACAGAAAAAAAAATTAGAATTTTGGTCTTGTCTGATCCGCTGGTTGAAGCTCTTTTTGGTTGGCCTGTCTGCTTCGGATGGCCGCGTCTTGATAGGTTTGCAGTTGTGGCAAAATCTATCAAGCATTTCAGATGGCAAGAAATGCTTCAGGAGACGTTTGAAGGTGCCTTTTAAAGCATGACTTTGGATTTTATTTAGATCTTTAGTATTTTTAGTTGCACAAATATTCAAGAAGTATGAGTACTTTTGGAAGGAAATGTAATTTAAACGTTGCGGTATGCATTTTTCTATAGAAACTGTATTATTTTACAAATAATAGAGTTTTTTGTAACTGTACAAAAAACTGGTCTGTTCGTCTCTGCAAAGCATCAGGGGACGAGGTGACATTGCAGCGCGCTTTGGTGTAATCCTCGGTATTCAGTGCATCTCTCCAACGGCAGAGGTGAAAAGTTGAACCCAGTGTTGACCTTCTCCTGAGAGAGGCTTAGCTCTGAAGTCAGGCGCAGGCCAAAGGCACAGGGAGGATATTCTCAAGTTCCTCTTTCCCTCCCTCACGTGCTCCGCTTCTCTCCTCCGCCACCCCCGCCCTCCCCTCGCACACGGAAACAATTAGCATCTGTGATAAGATGCTGTACATATTTCCACCATTTCATCCCACCGGTTGTGTTTGTTTGTTTTTTCCGTCGTGACGAAAAGCCTTGTGTCCTCCTGTCACGCCGCCGTTAATCGC